ATTAATTGGATTATATTCACAGAAAGTATAAAACATATTGCATGTGTCCATTTACTTTTAATGGACACATGTAATATGTTTTTTTTCTTTACACTGAGTAAAAAAGCACTTTTTGACTGTTTAATTTATGCAATGGTAAAAAAAAAAAAAAGAGGAAAAAATGTGAATGCGCTAATTTCTTCATTATATTCGATTTCGGCTTCGGCCATTTCGGTGCTTCCCTGGTGATATAAAATCCAGAATTCGAGAACAAACATATGGTTTTGAGACCAGTTAGGTATAGATTGTTTGGCAATGATGAAAGAAGTAATTTCTTTCAGGTATCAGTTTTTACAACAACTCTGGCAGGAACATTTTACTGCACTGTGAGTACTTTTACTGTCATACTGTAAGTACATGTTGCTGATAATACTCACATACTTTTACTGAAGGAAGGTTTGAATGCAGGACTTTTACTCGCAGTGGAGTATTTTCACAGAGTGGTATTAGTACTTTTACTGCAGTAAAGGCAGTTTACAGTGAGAATAAGCAGTAAAGTGTACAAACCTGCTTCAGGCTTGAAAACAGCGTCCAGTAGTTTGCGTTGTCCACAAAGTTCCTCCTCGTTCTCCACTTTAGACATTTTTACTGATTCACAGCAGCTTTTCCTCCAGACTGTTTCCAGCTAGCAAGCTAAGCTAACTGCATTAGCTTCGTAGGACAGCGGGAGATAATTCAGATGTTAAACATGTTCAGATAAAGGGAACAGCACAGAGTCTATTCAGACAGCTCTATCTGGACATTTGGACATTTGGGCTCCGTGAAAAATACAGTTTGGTCTCTATGGAAGCTGCTCCGACTGTGAGGCCGAGCTCCGGCTCCGGCTACTTCCTGCTAACAAGCTAACTTCCTTTAGCATTCTTGGCTAACAGGAGATGAGTCTGAGGTGAAACATCCCGAAAGTTTAAACAGAGTCCACTTAAACACGTTGATCCTCACATGCAGGCTCTGCTGCTGAACTCTGGCTGCATCTCACGGTAACGGAAAAGTTAGCATGTTAGCCACCGGAAGTACACTTGCTTCACTTCTGTGCTGAGCTTCAAAATAAAAAATGACCAAAAGGTACAACTACCTAGATTCTTAAGTAAACGTAGAAAAACGACAAAGTAAAGTAAAAGCATAATGTACACTATATTAATGTATGTACACATATACAGACAACTCTAAGTATAGTTAAGACATATTCTCATGTACACTGTTATTTCAGACCTTTTATCATATACAACAACAAACAACAGGGTCAGCGTTTATTGGTTTATTGGTCATTATACAGCACAATATAATTAGGAGGGGGTTTATATTAAAATATGGTAACTTATAAAATCAATTTTTGAGTTTGCATCTGAGGTTAATGTTAACAGCAGCAACTAGATGACAACATGATCATCCTCACAATAAACAGTCTGACATTTGGGAAACAGAGTCCATCCTGACTGCATTTGTGCACCAAGCAGCATCGATGTAGTCCACCTCCTCTTGCCGGAGTCTTGTGCTGACAGCTCAGAACGTGGACCACCTCCCGAGTGCTTGATCTGGGACTTTACTGTAATGACAATGTAAATTATAAAATGCTTTATAATACAAATTATGAGAAAATCTTAAGTCATTGTGCACTGATGAGAAAAAACTTTCATGCCCTGTTTCAGCAGTCAAAAGAGAACCTACATTAAACCACAGACTGTATTTAAAAAGGATTAAACAAGCGAATAGCACAGCACAGTACTGTGTTTGTACAGTACCACGGTTATAGTTACGGTAAACATACAGAACAAGTTTAACAGAGAAGGAAATGTTCCTAACACAATATAGAGGGCACAATGGCCTTCAACAAAATAAGTACCATGTGGTATGAGAATTATGACTAAAACATTGACTAAAATTAAATAAACAGAGGTCCGCTGACAAAATCTTGATTAAAACAAAGCAAAACAAAAGGACTGTAGTGAAAAGGAAGTGCAGTGTGATCTTCAGAAATGCCTCCGTGCTGCTTCTCATCAGCTCTTCCTCCTCACAACACCTTCTCATGCTCCTTCTGACTCTCTAAGCATTCTGGGAAACACAATTTTTAAATGTAGGCTCATGTTTATTTAAATATAAATATAAAAGAAATAGGTTGATAAAAGTAAACTACATACACTTTAGATGGAGAAGAGTCCAGTGGGCCGACAGATGTAGCCTTGAGTGCAGTGCAAAGAAAATGGAGAGAAAATCCAGATGGAACTTAAATGTTTACTGATCACCTGACCGCGGTAAATGTAGAATAAGAATCATCTTTGGCGATAAGGTCCTACACGTAGACAAACATACAGTTGACATAAACGTAAAAAAATATATCAATATGAAATAAACAGACGCAAGTTATTAAGAGCTGTTAATTATCCAGCTACAAGGTCAAACAACTCAGTTGTCCCTGAAGTCTGAATAGCACAGAGAACATAGATGCTTCGACTCTTCACATATTCAGTGCCACCTCATCTGAGTCCAAGGTTTACATTAATTATTAAAATAATGTGTGTGACTGCTATTAAATCACTGAACTCAAACCTGTCTATATTTGGAACAGGTTTCTCTGTGGGATAGGCCTTTACAACCCAAAACCCTCGCTCATCAAAGATGTAAAACAGGCTACTATAAAATATTTAATTTCAAGCATTGTGATTTTTACTTTTAAAAAGTATATATGTATAAGGCTATTGGATTACATGTCAATAATGAATCATTTGATTTAGTTTGAGAGACTGTGCATCTAGGCCAACATCACGTTCAGAGAGAGAGAGACCCGTTTCAAAGTAGTCACCTTAGAAAGGAAGAAAGCCGACGGAAAATTGCTTCGATTTTTTGGACACTTATGGACTAAAGTAATATTAATAATCAAGGAATGGACACATGCCTGACTTTATTACAGCTTCAAATTTATGGAGTCACCAGTTCTTTTTACCATACTGTTAAATGAATTATACTTTGGCGCTCATTAATTTCCATAAATAAACTGATCAAATGAATTGTGGAGAATCTAACTGGAGTAAAATGTGCCCATAATCACCATTCAAAATATTTATATTTATATGTGCAATCAAAGCAGCCTTAAACTAGCTCAAGAAGGCGCTCTGTGGGCTTCAAAAGGTTTTATAGACCCAAAGAACTTAAAAACAGATCCGGCATCTAATTCAGATATTTTTAAACGAATGAAAACATGTTTTGTTTGTGTATATCTTCACATAAAATAAGCTACTGACCTCACAAACAAAACTAATAACTGCTAGACACATATTTCAACAGATAAATGCAACCTTAAATAAATAAGAGGCAGAAACTAATGAACCAATAATTATTGAACTTATAACCATGTGATACCAGATGATGCAGCGGATGTCTGTGACGTCACAGGGATGAAAGCTAAACGCGCCTTATGTAACACTCGCCCTCAGAAACAGCGAGCTGCAGCACACAGCTCTCCTCTCCCTTCCAAACACTAGCTACCCTCCAGGCAGTCAGTGGACATAAAGTTGTTCCTGTGATGTAGAGACAGAGCTCAGTTAAAACTTTATGGATACAGATTAATAACTCACCGCTCTGAAACTCTCGCTACAGTCCGTGTTGCCGAGCCGGTCGGCAACACGTACGGCTGAACCCGAGCTGTTTACCGGCTTCTCGCTGACCCGCCCTTCTCTGCTTCTGATTGGCTAGTAGTCCTTAACTAGGAACTGAGCATGTGCAACTCCCAACAAAGATCATGTAGAGACAAGATGCATCACTCCATAGCTAAAACGAAGCCTTCAACACAGGCTGAAAAGAGGAGCTGCAGCAATGTGCAGCATGAGCATTTTATTAAATGAACCTGTTCTGGTACAACCCCTAAATAAGATTTTGAACCTAAAAATGAGCAGAATACCACCTCTTTAACTTAGTAAACACAGGAAACCACTATGTGGATAAACTTTGATATTTACCAGTGAGATCAACTTCAAGCACTGAGAAGCAACTGAGAAGTCTGCAAAGTCAAAGAGTGATTGATTATTATTAATCATCTGAAGACATGTAGATATTGTACCTGGGTTGATAGATTTCCTAATTAAGTAGGAAAAGTTGCTCAGCAGCAGCAGATCCACAAATATTCTGAGGGGATGTGAGATTTAGCGTTCCATTTATGTTTCATCTTATTACAAGCTATGGTTCATTCCTTTTGTTGATCCATTTTCACATTTTGTTTGCCATTCAAATATTTTGAACACCCTTTATAAGTGATTATGGTTAAAACAACAAAAAATCTTTTTAGAAAAATCCTTGAAACATGTCTTTGGAGTTGAACACCAGGACCTACATGTCCCAAATTATTTAACATGCTGCTGAAAAGCAGTTTGGAGTCATACTTTGAAGACATCCACACTTCATTTCTTCATATAAACAAGGATAAAGAAGCAAGAATGTTGTTAGTTCAGGGTTTATTTCCTCTGCATCCAAATCAGCATGTCAACTCAAAACATTTTATAAGGTCAGAAACATAAATGTACATTTAAAAATTTGTTCTGTCCTTTGTTTCTGAGTTCAGAGTCATGTGCTGTGACTTCCATCTCCTGGGATATGAGAGTATCTGGTCTGTTGAGAATGTGGACACTTGCTTTCCCTTAGAGTCGTTTCTGAGTCCCGGTGGGTTTTATGAACCAGAAGAATGTGAAGAAAGGATGTTTGGGAGAGACTCCATCACAGCTTATTTCATGACACAAAGAGAAAATATTAATTCTTCATACAAGAAAAGAAATTAAATGTTCAGAATCTGTGTCACACAACATGGCTAAATCAAAGACATCAGCTGTCCAGCTGTGTGAAATCAAAGTTTGTCTCAAGAGTTTTGATCTGACCGAAATAACACAAATACAGTATGAGCAGGTTAAGAATCAACTACTCATGTTTTACACATGAGATCAATTCAATTAGAAATAAACTGTTGCAAAAGTCAAGTCATTTCATTTATAAATCACATTTATGGGCTGAAACGATTCATCCATTAAATCGATAAAATGCATCGACGCAAATTCTTTGCATCATCATAAAGCAGCTGTCTGGTTGTTGGTCTGATGTTTGCTGTATGACACACTATGAATTTCCGAAAGGACTAATAAATATCTATCACCTATAAACGTGCACAGCTGATCCCGTTACGGGAGGCGCGCCTTAAACAACGTATGGATGAATCGTTGAAATAATCTATAGAAGCTTTGAATACTAAATCATTGTTAGCTGCAGCCCTAAAGTTGACCATGGTGATTTACATGTGACATAAAATACTTTTAGACTATTTAAATCAATGAATACAAGAAATACCAAAAAGCACCCTGGAAACATTCAAAAAACAGAATTTAAGTGATAACGTGGCTCCATCTTGCCCTCAGTACTTCAGTCCTGCTGGAAGGAATCGGCTCAAAAAGCATCTCTGATGCTTCATTTACTTCCAGTGTTCTCACCAGCACATTCGTGCGATTTAAGATGGTCGAGCTGAGTGAATGTTTTATCACAAACTCTGCAACTAATTGGTTTCTTCCCCGTGTGGACTCTCATGTGTGACGACAAATTGCTTCTTTGACTGAATCTTTTTTTACACACCGAGCAGCCGAAAGGTTTTTCTCCTGTATGAACTCTCAAGTGTTTGGTCAAATCTGCGCTTTGGGCAAATGTTTTGCCACAGACAGAACAGCTGAAGAGTTTTTCCCCTGTGTGGTATCTCATGTGTGTGGACAAATTGCTCTTTCGAAGGAAACGTTTTTTACAAATGGAGCAGCTGAAAGGTTTTTCTCCTGAATGAACTTTTAGGTGTTTGGTCAAACCTGAGCTTAGTGTGAATCTTCTACCACAGACAGAACAACAAAAAGGTTTCTCCCCTGTGTGGATTCTCATATGATTCAAACATGTACATCTCCATTTAAATGATTTTTTACAAACTGTACAACTAAATGGTTTCTCCCCTGCGCGGACTTTCATGTGCCTCGCAACATATTCTTTAAACTTAATAGTTTTTTCACAAACTGAGCAGCTGGAATGTTTTTGTTCTGAATGAAGCCTCATATGATCCATTAAGGAGCTCTTGCAGAGGAATCTTTTACCACAATCTGAGCAACTAAATGGATTCTCTGCTGTTTCGAGTTCATTGTGTTCCTGCAGATGTTCTTTGTGGCCAAAGCTTGTAGCACATTCAGAGGAGCAAAGTGATGTTTTTCCTGTATTACATTCCACATCACTTACAGCTACTTCATTGTTTTGCAGAGGGTTTGAACCTGACTGACATTTCTTGATCTCCTCCCAATCAAAACTATCATCAGTCTCAGGTTCAGAGGAGTCTGAACTATCTGGTCGTAAATGTCTATCTGGATCTGAGTTCCTGGATGGTTCTTGTCCCCCACAGTCCTCTCCATCAGCTTCTGCTTCCATCTGTTCAGTTAGTCTTTGATGAAGCTGTGAGGACTGAGGTTTCTCTTCATCGTCTTCTTCGCTCTTCACAGGGACAGGAGTGAATGTGAACTTGGTGATATCAGCCTCCTCCAGCCCTCGAAGCTGCTCTCCGTCCTGACTCGTCCAGAGTTCCTCCTGTTCCTCTTTAATGTGTGGGGGCTCTGGCGGGTCCTCCTGGTCCAGACTGGGGCTCCACTCCTCCTTAATATGTGGGGGCTCCGGTGGGTCCTCCTGGTCCAGACTGGGCCTCAACTCCTTTATTATGTGCAGAGGCTCAGGTGGGTCCTCCCGGTCCAGACTGGGCCTCCACGCCTGCTGCTCAGAGGGAACCGCTGCTTCACTCACCAACAGCAGCTGGACGTCTGTGGAGAAAAATGAAATACATACACGTTTTAGAAAACTAACTTCTTTGTTAACATTTAAACCCCCGACAGCACTACTTTCTGAGACTTCAAGCTGCCCTCTAATACTCAACTAAACCATCAAGTCAGACCAAGTTTTCATTGGCCAGTTAGTCACAGAAAACCACAGTGATTTACAGCAGATCTGACCAGGACTTTGGGGACAACCAGCTTTTGTGCTTGCTTACGCTTGAAAACAGGGTTGGTCTAAAAGAGGTTTAAGAGAAAGCAGTCACCAATCAGTCAGGATTTAGAGCATCATAGCAAAGAGACAGCACTACTGAAAATTACAATTGACCTAATTGCATCAGACTTAGGCCTTTTCTCTGTACTGGTTTAATTAGATTTTAGTTCCATTCACCATCACATCCCTATTAACAAAGACTGGAACATTTAATTGGCAGATCAGATAAGAGATTTATATATTAGAATCCCCATAAGCACCAGCATAAGCATTGCTTACTCTTCCTTGAGTCCATTAATCATACGTTCATATCAAAATATCAACTATTAAATAACTTTGTACAAAACTGCTCTAGGCTACAGTTTACTGTACGGGTGTGTGTTTAAGGAGACAGCAGCAGAGTTTTCCTGTTGTCCCCCCTGTTATGGTAACATTGTGTCGCAGCACATTTGCTGATTTCAGATGGACGTAAAAAGAAAACCTTCTGATTCCACTAACTCATCTACGTGCACAATTCAAATTTCAGTGTGTGATGTGTGGGTGTGATTGGAGGAGGTGACACCCTTATAGTCAAGTTGAGGACTAGGGTTACCCTTAAGGTTAACATAACCTTTGTGTTTTTTACCATCAATCTGAATTCAGGGGGCATAAAGTGAAAATAGAAGACATTTTATTGGGCTTTAATTTTGTGACCATACATCAAATCTCCAATACTGACTGAGGGATGCTCTATGGTGGTCTGCTATTTCTGGGGAGTGAAATGAGTTGGTGGAAACTGCAGGTTTTCTTTTTAGAAAGACATGGATGAGCGAGTTTGGTGTGGAGAATCTGACTGGCTTGACAGAGTCCTGATCTCAACCCAAAGAACACCTCTGGGATGAATTAGAGCATTAGAATCTTAGTGGGCGATACACTCTTACTCGTGAGACCAAGCCACCCGAATTAAATCAGTTTTAAATTAATGAAATCTAAATCAACTGTTCAATTCACACGTTTTCATCACCGCCATCCTTATCAATGAACTTGCATTACTTCCATTTATAGAAAACAGCGACGCTACGAACACAAGATGATGTTATAGAAAATGATTCACTGCTGCAGATTAAACTATCCATCAGGATACAAAGGAGTTAAAATGACCTTAAACATTTGGAGCAGTAAAATGCAGCGGGAATATTATTATATATATATCCAGAAACATCAGATATAACAGAGAAACTCTGACAGGAACATTTTACTGCACTGTGAGTACTTTTACTGTCATACTGTAAGTAATAATAATCTTTATTTGTAGAGCACTTTTCAAAAACAAGTTACAAAGTGCTTTAACAAGTGTAAAGACAATAATACAAAAACAATACAAGATAAAAGCATGAAAACATTAAAAAGACTAAAATACAGATAAATATAAAATTAGTAAAATACAATAAAATAAAAGGGATAAAATAAAGTCAAATAAGATCGGGAAAAGCTCTCCTATAAAAGTATGTTTTAAGAAGGGACTTAAAAGAGTTCACTGACTCAGCCGACCTGATTTCCTCGGGCAGGCTGTTCCAGAGCCTCGGGGCCCTGACAGCAAACGCTCTGTCCCCTTTAGTTTTCAGTCGAGACTCTGGAACAGACAACAGACCTCTGCCCGAGGATCTCAAGGTACGTGCTGGTGCGTATGGGACTAAAAGGTCAGAAATATAACAAGGCGAGAGGCCATGAAGAGCTTTAAAAGTGATCAATAGAATTTTAAAGTCAATTCTAAAACATACTGGGAGCCAGTGTAATGAAGCTAAAATAGGAGTAATGTGGTCATATTTCTTTGTTCTGGTTAAAAGCCTGGCAGCTGAGTTCTGGACAGTCTGGAGTCGATCAATAGATTTTTGGGTTAAACAGGTGAAAAGGCTGTTGCAATAATCCAGGCGTGATGAGATGAAGGCGTGTAAAATGGTCTCGGTGTCCTTAAAAGTTAACATAGATATGCTATATTTCTAAGTTGATAAAAACATGATTGAACAAGCTTTGTGGTGTGCTGCTCGAAATTTAAATTACTATCAAACCAAACACCAAGGTTCTTTGCCACAGGCTTAATGTGATTTACTAGGGAACCAGCAGATGGCAGTATTTGATTTGCCATCTGCTGAGACCCGATGACCAGGATTTCTGTTTTGTCTGAGTTCAGCTGGAGGAAATTATTTAACATCCATTTTTTAACTTCACAAAGGCAGTTGTTAAGTGAGCTCAGCATTCCAGGGTCTGTGGATCCGACGGGCAAGTATATTTGTGTGTCATCAGCATAAATATGAAAAGAAATGCCATGTTTATGGATAATATGTCCAAGGGGAAGCAGATACAAGGAAAACAAATTGGTCATTGGTGACTTTAAGCAGGGCAGTCTCAGTGCTGTGGTACTTCCTAAAACCAGACTGAAACCTTTCAAATAATTTGTTATTTTCCAGTACAGTGAGCAGCTGTTTGGACACAATTCTTTCTAGAATCTTTGCAATAAAAGGCAGTTTTGAAATTGGTCTAAAATTATGTGGGAGGGAGGGATCTAAACCAGGTTTCTTTAAAAGTGGGTTCACGCAAGCCGTTTTAAAATAATCAGGGACACAACCAGTAGATAGGGAGCTGTTGAAAACAGAGATCAAATGGGGCCCAACAGAATCCATTACTTTCAGTAAAAATTTTGTAGGCATTATATCAAGTGGGCTGGAGGACACTCTCATTTGTGATACTGTTTTTAAAAGCTCAGACAAGTCGATGGGATAAAACTGGTTAAAACTCTCTTGTTGCTGGTGAGGAACCTCTGAGTAAGAGGCCACGGGGGTAATAGAGGCTCTAATTGACACCACCTTATTGGTAAAATAAGATAAAAACAATTCACAGTCATCATTACTTCCAGCTGAGGCACAAGGAGGGGTTGGGTTTACCAGCTGATCCACAGTCTTAAACAGAAACCTGGGATTGTGTTTATGTGTAGTAATGAGTTCAGAAAAATAGTGTGTTCTCGCATCCTTAACCATTTTATTGTAGTTAATTAATAAATCCTTCAGACTGAGGTAATGGACTTGGAGACTGGACTTTTTCCATCTGCGCTCTGCTTTCCTGCATTCCCTTATTAGGCTGCGAATGCTGTCATTTATCCAGAGTTGCTTACTAGCTTTAGACGTAGGCCTAACCTTTAGAGGAGCAGTAATATTTAGTGACGACAAGCAGATATGATTGAAGTGATCGACCAGATTGTTGGTGTTGGAATCAGACAGGTGTTGGCTTTGGCTCTGAAAGACTGCGCAAAACTTTGAAACACTTTGTTCATTAAAGATGCGAGAACACACGGAGCTTGGTGAGGCGGCATGAGTAACAGGCGAATCGCAGCTAAAAACAATACATCTGTGGTCAGATATGGTCATGTCCACCAATTCCACCGAGGAAATGCTGACACCCAGGGTAAAAACCAAGTCCAGTGTATGACCACGGTTATGTGTTTGCCCTTTGACATGTTGTTTGAAGTTAAAAGAAGTGGCCATATTTAAAAAGTCAGTTGCATTAACATTGTTGGGGTCATCAACATGAAAATTAAAATCGCCACAAAGAACAATTCTGTCATACTGTAAGTACATGTTGCTGATAATACTCGCATACTTTTTAAGGAAGGTTTGAATGCAGGACTTTTACTGGCAGTGGAGTATTTTCACAGAGTGGTATTAGTACTTTTACTGCAGTAAAGGCAGTTTCCAGTGAGAATAAGCAGTAAAGTGCACAAACCTGCTCTGTGTAACCGGACTTCAGGCTTGAAAACAGCGTCCAGTAGTTTGCGTTGTCCACAAAGTTCCTCCTCGTACTCTGCTATCGTTCTTTCAAACAGCTCAAATATCTCTTCAGCAGCCGCACTTAGTCGCTGCTGGACAAAAGCTCTCAGCGTTTGGACTTTAGACATGTTTACAGCAGCTTTTCCTCCACGTTAAACTGACGTTACGTTCGGGCTCCGTCTATTTCCAGCTAGCAAGCTAAGCTAACTGCATTAGCTTCGTAGGACAGCGGGAGATAATTCAGATGTTAAACATGTTCAGATAAAGGGAACAGCACAGAGTCTATTCAGACAGCTCTATCTGGACATTTGGACATTTGGGCTCCGTGAAAAACACAGTTTGGTCTCTATGGAAGCTGCTCCGACTGTGAGGCCGAGCTCCGGCTCCGGCTACTTCCTGCTGACAAGCTAACTTCCTTTAGCATTCTTGGCTAACAGGAGATGAGTCTGAGGTGAAACATCCCGAAAGTTTAAACAGAGTCCACTTAAACACGTTTATCCTCACATGCAGGCTCTGCTGCTGAACTCCGGCTGCATCTTAACGACCGCTGTTTGTTCGAAATGAGCCGATTTATCTTTCATGATTCTGCATATGTGCAGCTTCCTGACACGTAAGTTAGCATGTGCCACAGGAAGTACAACCATTTCCGGTACCACCTTTTGCAGAATTTCAAAATAAACTACTTTTACTAACCAGTACCTTTGCTTGAGATACTATTGAAGTACAACACTAATTGTTATGGATGACTGTAATAATAAGTTTTTACATGGTTGAAACAGGACTGAGGTAAATAAAATTAAAATTAATAAATTGCCAACAATAAAGACATCAACAATATTGATAAAACAGATGAGACATGTTGAAATTAAACAGAGTGGTGGTGGCATTAATAAAAGGCTTCATACAGATAAGTATTGGGACGTGTTTAAAAGATGTCACTGAAATGTGTTCACATACTTGGCCAATAAATCTGATTCTGATATCAGGTAAATACAGTCAACTCTAACAGCCTCTTCTATCCTGCTGAACAAATGTCTGATACATTTCTATAAAAGAAAAATCATTGAGAAACATTACAGTTTTAAATTATAGTACAAAACAAAACTCAATAAAGTTGTTGCATTTATATTATTCTGTTTAGTAGTATTAGAAAACATGTTCAAACCCCAACAGCTATGCAGCTGATCCCTACTTGGGTCTCCCTGACTAAGTTACCCCCAACGTTACATGAGCTCTCCACCAAATCAGACTCATTCACATTGTGGCAGGACAGCCACTGGACATGCAGCGTGCCAACTCTTCATACGAAGGACAACAGCAAATACAAATACAGAACATTTAACGTCAGTTTAGCAAAAATCCAATACAGTTTCAGTTTATCGAGTATTTCTAAAGCCTCTTTTTTATTTTTATTTCGGTGAATGACAATGTTTCTTCACAACATTCACACTAGTTTTCTTTATTTCGTTCGTTTTCGATAACGATAATCTTGATACACACTTTCTTTCTATAAAGAAGCAGTTTTTGTTAGTTCAGGGTTTATTTCCTTTGCATCCAAATAAGCATGTCAACTTACAGGTGAAACTCAAAAAATTTGCATATCGTGCAAAAGTTCATTTATTTCAGTAATTCAACTTAAAAGGTGAAACTAATATTATATAGACTCATTACATGCAAAGTGAGATATTTCAAGCCTTTATTTTATATAATTTTGATGATTATTGTGTGCAGTTTATGAAACCCCAAATTCAAAATCTCAGAAAATTTGAATATTGTGAAAAGGTTCAGTATTGTAGGCTCAAAGTTTCCCACTCTAATCAGCTAATTAATCCAAAACACCTGCAAAGTGTTCCTGAGCCTTTAATTGGTCGCTCAGTCTGGTTCAGTGGAAGAAGACTGCTGACCTGACAGTTGTGCAGAAAACCATCATTGACACAAAGAAGGAACGCCTCAAAAGGTAATTGTAAAAGAAGTTGGATGTTCTCAAAATGCTGTATCAAGGCACATTAATACTTTACTTTTGCATCTCATTTGGAAACCAAGGTCCCAGAGTCTGGAGGAAGAATGGAGAGGTACACAATCCAAGATGCTTGAAGTCCAGTGTGAAGTTTCCACAGTCTGTGTTGGTTTGGGGAGCCATGTCCTCTGCTGGTGTTGGTCCACTGTGCTTTATTAAGTCCAGAGTCAGCGCAGCCGTCTACCAGGACATTTTAGAGCACTTTATGCTTCCTTCAGCAGACGAGCTTTATGGAGATGCTGACTTCATTTTCCAGCAGGACTTGGCACCTGCCCACACTGCCAAAAGTACCAAAACCTGGTTCAATAACCATGAGATTACTGTGCTTGATTGGCCAGCAAACTGGCCTGACCTGAACCCCAGAGAGAATCTATGGGGCATTTCCAAGAGAAAGATGAAAGACATGAGAGCGAACAATGCAGAAGAGCTGAAGGCCGCTATTGAAGCATCCTGGTCTTCCATAACACCTCAGCAGTGCCACAGGCTGATAGCATCCATGCCACGCCGCATTGAGGCAGTAATTCATGCAAAAGGGGCCCAAACCAAGTACTGAGTACATACGCATGATTATACTTTTCAGAGGGTTGACATTTCTGTATTTAAAATCTATATTTTTTTTTTTTTTTTTTTTTTTTTTAAATTGATTTCCTGTGATTTTCTGAGATTTTGAATTTGGGGTTTTCATAAGCTGCATGCAATAATCATTGAAATTATATCAAATAAAGGCTTGAAATATCTCACTTTGCATGCAATGAGTCTATATAATATATTAGTTTCACCTTTTAAGTTGAATTACTGAAATAAATGAACTTTTGCACGATATGCTAATTTTTCAAGTTTCACCTGTATGGTAAATGACATTAATGTACAGGGGTTGGACAATGAAACTGAGACGCCTCTCATTTTAGTGTGGGAGGTTTCATGGCTAAATTGGACCAGCCTGGTGGCCAATCTTCATTAATTGCACATTGAACCAATAAGAGCAGACTGTGAAGGTCCAATTAGCAGGGTAAGAGCACAGTTTTGCTCAAATATTGCAATGCACACAACATTATGGGTGACATACCAGAGTTCAAAAGAGGACAAATTGTTGGTGCACGTCTTGCTGGCATCTGTGACCAAGACAGCAAGTCTTTGTGATGTATCAAGAGCCACGGTATCCAGGGTAATGTCAGCATACCACCAAGAAGGACGAACCACATCCAACAGGATTAACTGTGGACGCAAGAGGAAGCTGTCTGAAAGGGATGTTCGGGTGCTAACCTGGATTGTATCCAAAAAACATAAAACCACGGCTGCCCAAATCACGGCAGAATTAAATGTGCACCTCAACTCTCCTGTTTCCACCAAAACTGTCCGTCGGGAGCTCCACGGGGTCAATATACACGGCCGGGCTGCTATAGCCAAACCTTTGGTCCCTTGTGCCAATGCCAAACTTCGGTTTCAATGGTGCAAGGAGCGCAAATCTTGGGATGTGGACAATGTGAAACATGTATTGTTCTCTGATGAGTCCGCCTTCACTGTTTTCCCCACATCCGGGAGAGTTACGGTGTGGAGAAGCCCCAAAGAAGCGTACCACCCAGACTGTTGCATGCCCAGAGTGAAGCATGGGGGTGGATCAGTGATGGTTTGGGCTGCCATATCATGGCATTCCCTTGGCCCCATACTTGTGCTAGATGGGCGCGTCACTGCCAAGGACTACCGAACCATTCTGGAGGACCATGTGCATCCAATGGTTCAAACATTGTATCCTGAAGGAGGTGCCGTGTATCAGGATGACAATGCACCAATACACACAGCAAGACTGGTGAAAGATTGGTTTGATGAACATGAAAGTGAAGTTGAACATCTCCCATGGCCTGCACAGTCACCAGATCTAAATATTATTGAGCCACTTTGGGGTGTTTTGGAGGAGCGAGTCAGGAAACATTTTCCTCCACCAGCATCACGTCGTGACCTGGCCACTATCCTGCAAGAAGAATGGCTTAAAATCCCTCTGACCACTGTGCAGGACTTGTATATGTCATTCCCAAGACGAATTGACGCTGTATTGGCCGCAAAAGGAGGCCCTACACCATACTAATAAATTATTGTAGTCTAAAACCAGGTGTTTCAGTTTCATTGTCCAACCCCTGTACATTTCAACTTCCTCTAGCTCTCTGTCCTTTAGTTTATTCTGTCATAAATTTGGCCACTTGTCTTGGTGTGGAATGTGAGGAAAGGATGTTTGGGAGAGACACAGCTTGTTTCATTACACAGAGGCCACAAGGAAAAAATGCCAATTTTAATCCATTTTAAATCAATGAATACAAATAATATCAAAAACGGAAAACAACCACATTCTGTAATTAGAGACCGAAGTCGCGAGACTAACGTCCGAAGGACAGAATCGTGACACAACCGCCAGGGTAACAGTGTAGAATGTATTTGTATTTCTTGTATGTTATTTTTATTTCATCATTTAACTCTACTTAATTCTCCACCTTATTTCAGTGTTTACTCACTAACCTGCTTGAATCCGCTCCCTTTCTCTTCACTTCTCTTTTCCCCACACTCCACCTCGCCTCTTACTGTCTCTCTCAGGGAGGGACTTGTTGGACATATTGATTATGTTTACAGTAGCCAATGGCGCTGAATGTGCGTTACGCCCCACCCTCCCCGTCATGTGCAGATTGGATCACTGGGAGCTGCCCAGTGAGTGAACACTGCGGCCTTGGGGCTGGCACCTGGCACCTGGGGCTGACCTGAGTCAGCTAATAGGACAGCTAGCAGCACAGCTAACAGAGCTAATTAGCCACTGATAAAGTTAGCAGCTGTCTGCAGTTTAGCATAAAGTTAATTTACCTGTCCATCAAGAAACTGTAAATCACCTCGGTACTGTTTTCCCTGTTGGTCTGTGTTCAGTCCCGTTCACTCGGAGGCTGCTGAATGAGGTTTGGTTGCCCGCCCAGCGCTGCTCCCTGCCATTATCCTGGCCTGAAAACCTCCAGTCCTCCTGCTCCGAGCTCTCAATCCAGGCTGAGTCAGCTGTAACTACAATTGCATGGCTAACTGAGCTAATTAGATAATGGCAGCTAGTTAAGTGTTTACTTTAGCAACAAGTAATACTATCAGCAAACTCCATAAATGAGCCATAGAACTACAACTGACAGAATGTGCACTGTAGAACGATAACGGTCTTTCTAAAAAGGCAGATTGTGGTAAACATTTTAATAGTTCAAGATCTAATATGGTAATATCGAACACCCCTACCTGGGAGAATTGGGCCCAATCAAAGTAAATGTGTGAGACACTGTATTTAAAGTTAGGACAAGCTGTAAGACTATATTTTGTAAATATAACACCATACATTTATTTTATTGTCTTCCAAATGCAGGTCCATTTTGGTCCAGTCATGGTTGAGTGATCATGCCTGTTGATAACATAATAATAATAATAATAATGCACTGCGACCCTCCCCCAAAAAACAGGAAACAAAAATAGAGGTATGAATCAAAACGTGTATTTGGAGAATCGTTACACCCCTGAAAAAGAAAAAATAAATAAACAGAATTACAATGATCGGATGGCTTCATCTTAGCTGAAAATATGAAGCTTCACTTATTTTGTCTGTATCACAATTCTGAACTGATCAGTGTTGAGCCAAGTCTTGCCTTCAGTACTTCAGTCCTGCTGGAAGGAATCTCTGCAGCTTCATTTACTTCCTCTGCTCTCACCAGCACACTTGTGATTTTTGAGATATTCGAACCGAGTGAATGTTTTATCACAAACACTGCAACTAAATGGTCTCTCTCCTGTGTGGATTTTCATGTGTCTGGACAAAGCGTATCTGAAACTGAAACTAGTTTTACAAACTGAGCAGCTGAAAGGTTTTTCTCCTGTATGAACTCTCGAGTGTTTGTTCAAATCTGAGCTTTGGGCAAATGTTTTATTACACACAGAACAACTTAAGAGTCTCTCCCCTGTGTGCAATCTCATGTGTCTGGACAAAGTGTAACTGAAACTGAAACTTTTTTTACAAACTGAGCAGCTGAAAGGTTTTTTTCCTGTATGAACTCTTAAATGTTTGGTCAAACCTGAGCTTCGGGTGAATCTTCTACCACAGACAGAACAACGAAAGAAGTTCTCTTCTGTGTGGACTCTCATATGATTCACAAATGTAAATCTCCATTTAAATTTTTTTTTACAAATGGAACAACTAAGGGGTTTCTCCTCTGTGTGGACTTTCATATGCCTCACAACATATTTTTTTAACTGAAATGTTTCTTTACAAACTGAGCAACTGAAATGTTTTTGTTCTGAATGAAGTTTCTTATGGTATATTAAGGAGGGTTTCTTTCCTGTTTTGAGTTCATTGTCTTTCTGCAGATGTCCCTTGCAGCCAAAGCTTGTAGCACATTCAGAGAAGCTACATGATTTCTTCCCATTATTACATTCCTGATCACTTACAGGTCCTTCATTGTTTTGCAGAGAGTTTAAACCTGACTGGGGTTCCCTGGTCTCCTCCCAATCACAACTGTCATCAGTCTCAGGTTCAGAGGAGTCTGACATCTTGTCATCAGTATGTGGTTGTAAATGTCTATCTGGATCTGAGTGCCTCCCTGGTTCTGGGCCACCACAGTCCTCTCCATCAGCGTCTGTTTTCACCTGTTCAGTGGGTCTTTGATGAAGCTGAGGTTTCTCTTCATCTTCTTCACTCTTCACAGGGACACAAATGAATGTGAACTTGGTGATATCAGCCTCCTCCAGCCCTCGAAGCTGCTCTCCCTCCTGACTGGTCCAGAGTTCCTCCAGTTCCTCTTTAATATGTGGGGGCTCTGGTGGGTCCTCCTGGTCCAGCCTGGGGCTCCTCTCCTGCTCCTCAGGGGGAACCTCTTTTTTACTCACCAACAGCACCTGGACGTCTGCGGAGAATAATGAAATACATACATGTTTTAGAAAAACTAGCAGTTTTTTTTTTTTTGCCACCAGTCCAAAAAAAGTGATTTTGCCACTTTGTAAACAGCTTTTCAAAACACTCCCAGGAATCCCAGGAAACTCTACTTGGACTTGTGCATTGCAGCTTGTGGCATGTGGGACTTTTAGTTTTTGAATTTTAGTTGTGAATTCTTTTCTATTAAAGTAATTTTAATCAATTCACGACATACATCACTTTATTCTACAAAACCCATTTTGTGTGCATACATTTTCTCAACATTATAATATATCTTATTTTACGTTCTTGTGAAATTACGAGGAAAGGGAGGTGAGACTCTGCCTGGAGGAAGCCCAGGGCCCTGTCAGGAACCAGGCCCAGAGGGAGGGCTCGCCGGCGAGCGCCTGGTTTGCCACAGAGCCCGGCCGGGCACAGCCTGAAAAAGCAACGTGGCATCCCCCCTCTCTCCGTCTTTTGGACCCACCATCCACATGAAGATCCACATGGGTCACATGTGCTGCTACATGGGTGGCGGTGAAGGTCAGGGGCCTCGACGGACCAGACCCGGGCAGCAGAGGCTGGCTCTGGGGAAGTGGAACGTCACCTCTTTGCGGGGGAAGGAGCCGAAACTTGTGCGGGAGGTGGAGCGCTACCGGTTAGATCTGGTGGGGCTAAACTGACTGTTGTCTGTGCATATGCACCAAACAGCAGTTTAGAGTACTCGGCCTTCTCGGAGACCCTGAATGGAGTTCTGCATGTGGCTCCAGTAAGGGACTCCATAGTTCTACTGGGAGACTTCAACGTGCATGTGGGCAATGATGGAGATACCTGGAAAGGCGTGATTGGGAGAAACAGCCCCCCTGATCTGAACCAGAGTGGGTGTTTGTTGTTAGACTTCTGTGCTAGTCATGGATTGTCTATAACGAACACCATGTTCAAACATGCGGTTGCTCATAAGTGTACGTGGTACCAGAGCACCCTAGGCCGAAGATCGATGATTGATTTTGTAATCGTTTAATCTGATTTGCCGCATGTTTCGGCCACTCGGTTGAAGAGAGGGGCGGAGCTGTCAACTGATCACCATCTGGTGGTGAGTTGGGTCAGGACACGGGGGAAGACTCTGGGCAGACCTGGTAAGCCCAAACGGGTAGTGCGGGTGAACTGTGAACGTCTGGAGAGGACCCTGTCTGCGAGATCTTCAAACCTCTGGCGGAGCTTTTCTGGCATCCTTGTGGAGGTTGGAGACATTTAACATGAGTGGGCAATGTTCAAAGCTTCTATTGCTAAAGCCGCAGCGGGAGGCTCCACAACTCCACAGTGGCAAAGCCCCAGGGATTGATGAGATCCGCCCAGAAATGCTAAAAGCTTTGGGTGTGGAGGGGCTGTCTTGGATGACTCGTCTCTTACACGTCTCTCTCTCTAACATTGAGTGGAAGTCGGGTACAGTGCCCAAGGAGTGGCAGATTGGGGTTGTGGTTTCCCTGTTCAAAAATGGGGACCAGAGATTGTGTGCCAATTACAGGGGTATCACACTTCTCAGCCTCCCCGGTAAAGTCTACTCCAGGGTGCTGGAACGGAGGGTTCGGCCGATTGTCGAACCTCAGATTGAAGAGGAACAATGCGGTTTTCGTCCCGGTCCTGGAACAACTGACCAGCTCTTTACTCTCACAAGGATCCTGGAGTGGGCCTGGGAGTATGCCCATCCAGTCTACATGTGCTTTGTAAATCTGGAGAAGGCGTATGACCGGGTCCCCGGGGAGATACTGTGGGAGGTGCTGTGGGAGTATGGGGTGAGGGGGGCCCTTCTCAGGGCTATCCAATCCCTCTACATCCAAATCGAGAGCTGTGTCCGAGTACTCGGCAGTAAGTCGGACTCTTTCCAGGTGAGGGTTGGCCTCCGCCAGGGCTGCGCTTTGTCACCAATCCTGTTTGTGATATTCATGGACAGGATATCGAGGCGTAGTCGTGGCGAGGAGGGGCTGTGGTTCGGGGGGCTTGGGATCTCGTCACTGCTTTTTGTGGATGATGTGGTCCTGATGGCATCATCGGTCCGTGACCTTCAGCTCTTACTGGATCGGTTCGCAGCAGAGTGTGAAGCGGTTGGGATGAGGATTAGCACCTCTAAATCTGTGGCCATGGTTCTCAGCAGGAAACCGGTGGAGTGCCAACTACGGGTAGGGAATGAGTCCTTACCCCAAGTGAAGGAGTTCAAGTACCTCGGGGGCTTGTTCACGAGTGAGGGGAGACTGGAGCAGGAGAATCGGAGCGGTATTGCACATGCTTTACCGCACCATTGTGATGAAAAGAGAGCTGAGCCGTAAGGCAAAGCTCTCGATCTACCGGTCAATTTTTGTTTCTATTCTCACCGTTAATTTGTATTGATAATGATACCCTTATTGAGACGGCTTAACGATCCGATTCTTTATCGATACTTTACTATTATTTAGTGATGGTTATTTGGTAAGAGCAGACCCAACGGGCCTGAGGTAGGCCTGCACGGTATGAGGAAAATATGTGTGATAACGTTATATATTGAGATGACGTATCACGTGCGATAAATAAACATATATTGAAGTGTACATATTAACTGGCTGGTTGTTTTTAATTTAATATTTTAAATACAGCTAAATGTTGTTTCTAGAGCAGCAACATTAATATTTACAACAGCAAAGTAACTCAATAACTTTATCTGACATCACAAGTAGCGAGTGATGTTTAGAAAGTACAACATGAGTCTGTTTCAGTCCCTCCTCCTCTCTCCTGGATGCAGGTAACGTTACCAGGTAGAAGGAGGAGCGGCTGGTTTGTTTTTAAGACTACAGACCAGTCTGTGCTCCAGACAGACAGCTTTCTATTTAGCTCGTTTTTAACATTTGGCTAATGCCAAGCTAGCGTTAGCTGTGCTTGAAACATACAGGATGAGATACTGAGGACAGAGAGGATTAAATTAACCCTTTATACATGTTTAACGTTACCTTACAGACAGGTGGACTGATAAAGTATTGTCTTTTTACTTCCTTTCCAGATTTACTTTTAGCGTTCCTCCTTTAACCTCTTGTATTTAAACCCTCTTGGATCAGCTGGAAAATGAATCGTCACGAACTGACAACAGGCTGTTTACAGACCCGTGGTTCTGAAGCACAAACCTGCTCTGTGTAACCGGACTTCAGGCTTGAAAACAGCGTCCAGTAGTTTGCGTTGTCCACAAAGTTCCTCCTCGTACTCTGCTATCGTTCTTTCAAACAGCTCAAATATCTCTTCAGCAGCCGCACTTAGTCGCTGCTGGACAAAAGCTCTCAGCGTTTGGACTTTAGACATGTTTACAGCAGCTTTTCCTCCAGACACACTCCGTTACAGACACGCAGCTCACTCTGATAAAATACACACTGTGAGGCCGAGCTCCGGCTCCGGCTACTTCCTGCTGACAAGCTAACTTCCTTTAGCATTCTTGGCTAACAGGAGATGAGTCTGAGGTGAAACATCCCGAAAGTTTAAACAGAGTCCACTTAAACACGTTTATCCTCACATGCAGGCTCTGCTGCTGAACTCCGGCTGTTTGTTCGAAACGAGCCGATTTCTTCTTCTTCTTTTTCTGGCGACTTGTACCCAGATGGAGCAGCATTATCGCCACCTACTGCCTCCTAGTTACTTAAATCCTTGTGTTCAGTCCAGTTTGTTGTAAAAAAAGATGAGATGTGTTTATGGATGGATGTTTTCCAACAAGGTGCAGAGATGCATTTAACTTTGTGTGACCAAGTTCTGCTGAATTGACTGTTCCTCCTCACTTTCTGCTGAATCTAAATATCTTCCTTTATTTCTATTATCCCATAAACTCTTCTTCTTCTTCTTTAGGGTTTAATGGCGGTTGGCAAACCAGTTTAACAGTGCATTATCGCCACAAGCTGGACTGCAGTGTGGAACGAGAGATTAAGCAGGAAATGAATGAAATTAAACAAAAAAAAACAAAAAAACAAAAACAAACATAAATTAAATACTTTTTTCTAACTCAGTTTCTTTAAGAAACTTAATTATATGACAATATATCTTCCCTGCTGTTTTCCCCAAGAGACCCGTCAATGAGATATCATGATGTTTTGCCTTCCGTAATGACTGAAAGAGGCGTTTCCTCTTGATAGTGTATCTCCTACACTGAAGGAGAACATGTTCAACCGTTTCTAGTTGGTTACAATATATACATTTCCCAGTTGGGTGCTTACCTATTTTATATAACGAAAGGTGGAGACCTGTATGTCCTATTCTCAGACGAGTGATTATATTTTCTTCCCTACGTTTCCAGCCCACCATCCTGCCGGCACCAACCTGTCTCTGTACATATATAGGTGCCTTCCAGTTTCACTGTTGTCCCAGTGCTCCTGCCAAACTGACTGTGCATAGGTCCTGATAAATGTCTTAGCTTCATCTTTAGTTAAAGGGGTTTTTAGGTCTACATGTTTGGTTCTGAGTGTTCCTTTGGCCAGAATATCCACCTGCTCATTTCCCTCCACACCAACATGAGCAGGAACCCAAAGGAAGCATGTGGATAAACCTTTTAGCTCCATCCTGTACAATTTAAGGAATATGTCATTGAGGATTTTGGATCTAAATGATGATTTGCCAGATTTAATACTCATTAGAGCAGACAAGCTATCAGATGCAATAACAGTATTTTTTGTTTCCCTCTCTTCCAGTAATATTGCAGTCAACTCTGTGGTATACACTGAGACATGATCTGATATTCTTTTCTTGATATATGACTCACTTGTGGGATAAAGACTGCTGCACCTGCACGCCCTGTATCAGGATCTTTGGAGCCATCTGTGAATATAACCATGGAGTCTGAAAAATGTAAATCAAAGTAATTCTGTACTATACTGCATGCTGGAAGTTTCTTTGACATATCCTTCAATTCCTGCTGTATGTTTAGGTCTACAATTGGTGTTGGGAATAACCAGGGAGGAATGGAAGACTGTGACACTGTAGGGCTGTAGTCTAATTGTCGTAATCCTATGACTTCTGCCTTTGCATCACCAATCCACCCAAAACTTGTGAAATTTGTCTCATTGTGTTCCCAGCAATCTATTAAGAGACTCTTGGCAGGATGAGAATCACATTGCCCCTGGAGATTAACCCAGAATGCCAACATTAACTTTACTCGCCTGATTCTTAACGTCATTTCTCCCATTTCCACCTGCATTGCTGACACCGGAGATGTTCTGACTGATCCATTGCAAATTCTCAAGGCCTGAGCTTGTAATACATCCAACTTCTTAAGGTTTGTTTCCGCTGCTGACATGTACGCTACACATCCATAGTCAAAAACGGATCTCATGAGTGCCCAGTATATATTTTGTAGAGCTGCTCTGCTTGCTCCCCACTCTTGTCCTGACAGACAATGAAGTATATTGATGACCTTTTTACACTTAACTTTGTCTAAATGAGTATTCCAGGTGAGCTTCTCATCAAACCAAACCCCAACTGCCACTGCATCTTAACTTTGCTTTGTATATATGCTTTGATCTCCTCTTTGCTAACTGGTCCTGCTGCCTCTGCCTGATTTACTTTCTACCTGTTTTTAGCTAATGTGTGCCGGGACCCATAGAAACTGAACATCGGTCCCCAGAATACTCACTCTGTATAAAGATATCAATATTTCAAACAATATATCCTCCCTACATTTTGACATTGTACTTTTGAGACGACCCAGAGCTGCGCTTGAATCTGAACAAATGATCATTCTCATTGGTTTGACTTCCTCTATCCGCTGTAGTGCAAACAAGACCTCCGTCATTTCTGCTGCAGACACCGATAAATGGCAGGTTCATCTTTCAAACACCTTAATTTTTAATTCTGGGAGGTAAAAATCACAGCTGGATTTTACGTTCTCTGGGTTTTTAGAGCCATCTGTAAATAAATGTATGTAGGACCCATATTTCTCATGCAGCACCGTGTTAACATAAGCTTGCATATCTAAAATGTTTTACTTGAACGAACCTGTTTCAGTAGAGAAAGATCAACTCTAGGCTGAGGTAATAACCATGGTGGAACAGCTGGCATTAAAGCAGCTGGACTAGCGACCCAATCGTTGATTCCTGACTCCTTTGTTATATCCAAAACATTACATTACTGAATACCTCCTTTTTAATTTTGTTGTTTTCCCAACTTTCATTCATTATCCTTTCTGTGGGACGTGTGTCCTTTTGACTTTGTAAATTTACCCACTAATTAGCTGTTTCCTTCTTAGATTCAGTGGCATTTCTCCAACCTGAAGCGCTGATATTGGTGTTGACTTTACGGCTCCACAGCATAACCTCAACGCTTGGGCCTGAATTATATCCAACCTTTTTAAAGATGTTCTAGCAGCCGATCCAAAAACTATACATCCATATTCAAGAACTGATCTAATGCTATATAAATATTTCTTAACGCAATCAGCTCCCTAAACACTGCCTGTTAAACACCTCATAATATTCAATACTCTCTTACATTTATCTTCCACCTTATCAAAATGATTTCTTCACATTAGCAATACATCAAACCACAAACCCAAGAATTTAAGGAGCCGATTTGTCTTTCATGCCTCTACATATGCGCAGCTTTCAGACACATTAAAGTAAATTAGCATGTTAGCCACAGGAAGTACAACCACATCTTTGCTTGAGATAATGTTGCAGTACCACACTAGTTGTGGGTCCTGTAATAACAAATAAACTTTATTTATACATTACTTTATAAACAAAGTTACAAAGTTCTTTACATGGTTGAAACAGGATTCAGGTAAGTAAGTAATAAAATAGCCAACAATAATATTGATAAAACAGATGAGACATGTTGAAATTAAACAGAGTGGTGGTGGCATTAATAAAAGGCTTCATACAGATAAGTATTGGGACGTGTTTAAAAGATGTCACTGAAATGTGTTCACATACTTGGCCAATAAATCTGATTCTGATATCAGGTAAATACAGTCAACTCTAACAGCCTCTTCTATCCTGCTGAACAAATGTCTGATACATTTCTATAAAAGAAACAACAGCAGGACGTGTTTGTTGAACACTCAGACTATGAATCAACCCCTGATGATGAATCATCGAGAAACATTACAGTTTTAAATTAAAGTCTGCATTTGACTATCAGTCTCGATAAGTCACATTTAAAGGGGTTAATAGTGTCGGTTTTTAAGTCTTGAAGTTTCTTCATTGTACGAGTCATAAAGGAGTGTTGGGTTGAAGTCAGGACTCTGAAGGCGTATTTTCTTCTGCTGGAGCCATTCTGTTGTTATTTGCTTTGGGTTCATTGGCCAGTTAGTCACAGAAAATAAAAACGGTGTCAGATTTCGAAGGAGGCCAGTTTGACGACAGGGAATACAGCACCAAGGTGATTTACAGCGGCTCAGACCAGGAACCGGGGACAAGCTGTCCCCCACATGGGTAAAGGTGCTTCAAATAAAGGTTTGACATCTTTTACATTTCCACTGGGTGAGTTTGTCTGTTCTTTTTGTAACGCTTGAAAACAGGGTTGGTGTAAAAGAGGTTTAAGAGAAAGCAGTAAAAAATCAGTTGTGTGACTTTCTCCGTCATCATAGCACAGAGACAGCACTGGTGAAAATTACAATGACTGCATCAAACTAAGGACTTGTCCTCTAAAAATTTACATGTGGGTTTTTGATTATAAAGCAGGTCTAGTTGTCGTATAAATACTGTGAACATATCAAGGGAGAAATGCAAACTTCCCTTATTCAGAAACTGGGCCTTTAAAAAAGCCCTCAGGACTTGTGAGGTCGTCATGTCACAACTACACAGTGACCATTGTTTAAATTTTACTAACACTAAGCGGCCATTTCAATTCTTGAGCTGCACACTGGTTGGATGGCAGGAAGCCAATATGTCACTGCACAGCATTCCCATGTTTTCTGGTTTTCCACCATGTAAACAATTTTATCATTGCTGCCCACTCAACACCTGACACCACAGTGTTCTCACTACAATCCCTCCCTCCTGTAAAAAGCCTGTCTCTGTGACAATCTTTAATAGAAACCTCTTCTAGGAAATGGACCTCTGCGCACTAACTCAATCCTCATTAAGTCTGCTGGGTCATTTGAGGAGCACCTTTCATATCAGAGGGACACTTATCCCAATCCCTACAGATTATAGATTTACCTTGACTTCACAGCAAAGCACTGAGGGAGCCATGCTAGTGTGTTTTGCTTATTTGATGTATTTTCAGCCTATTCCATGCATTTATCCATTCAGTGCTGTATGAAAATCAGATCGCAGACTCTTGAATCTTGTGTCAAACTGAAAATCGTTGCTTGCTGGTTGACTCCAAAAGCCTAACCTGCTTTACTCAACAACTATAATGCAACTTTGACAAAACTTAAAGCAAGCATGCCGTGGATAAACTCAAGGATATGACTGTTTAACACAAGAACAGAGGCTAGCTAATGTATAAATCCATAAAGATTATGTGAATGTAAAATGAAGTTTGCTTACCATCCTCTGCTCACTAACGTCACTGATAAGGGAGCTGGGCAGCAAAGCTGCTGGAGCTGTTCTCATTATTATTATTATTCT